TCAGCCCTTCCTTTGTTTTAGTTCTATTATGCATCCATTTGTTAACTTATTTTTCCATGATAGGAGTAAGACTTACAAATTAGTTTTCTATTGGCCTCAGTTTTCTTCCCTATTAAGGAAGTTAGATTTCTATGATGTCTAAGGTCTCTCTCAGCTCTGATGCTCTGTGAAAGATTAAGATCTGAAATGTCTTTAGATTAGTGCCTGGCATATAACTATTATTATCAGTATTAAATCTGATAAATGTTCTCTGCCGATTCTGAACTTGATATACTAGAAAACTGATCAGACTCCCCATAAAGTTGGTGACTCTTGTATTCCGCAGTAAAATTTCTAGGGAACATTAACCCCCATTGGTCAGCTCCAAACTCCATTAACAATTTATCATTGGTTCACAGAATCTCAGGTTAGAAGAGATCTTAAAGATCCATTTCCAGCAAAAGATGTAGCAGAGAAAGAAAGGAGGCAAACTCTTTCCAGAATAACTCCCATTTCCAGAGTTTCAAGATGAGTCCTAGGGAGTTCTTCACTTCTACCAAACTGCCCGGATTGCTATTCATTACATTTCACTGGGAGTTTCTTTTAGCGCTATGAGGGACCTTGGCAGAGAGGCCAAACACGAGTGGGGCCTCATTCTCAAGTAATATGTTGCTAAGTATAAGGCAGAGTAGAACTTAAAACTGCCTGGTTTCCTGCCATGTGGCAAGTTACAGAGGGAGGGTCCAGGGTCAAAGCCTGCAGCGCTCCTTTTTGCCCACAGAAAGGGAGCATTTGTGCAAGATTTGGATCCGCTCCTATTCCAATGTCAGTGATGATTTTGCCCTTACCGTTACTGCTCTGTCAGTTCCTTGTCCCTGAGGCTACTGAGACCTTGATAACAGGGCAGATGTCATAAAATATATTTTTTTTGCTGCAGCTTTTGATCCTTACCTGGTGATGTCACTCTGGACAATTGATTCTAATCACGGAAGTGAATGAGTTCATCAAGGTAGGAGGCAGGATGTGCTTGTGCATCGATGGGGGATGGGCTTCTTTGGTATTGTCTAGGTTTAAGAATCATACTCTTTGAGAATGCGCACATAATTGAAGTGGAAGAGAACTATAGAAGCCATGGACAATAAGATGAATAAATCTATTGATTTGACAGATGAATGGGGTTCCAACTCTTTTTAAAAAAAATTTTTTTAAACAGAGCTAGGTTTTTCCCTTCTAAATACATATGCATCCAAATGGAAGAATATCCCCTTTGAGTAAGCTAAGTGCTGGCCCAGGGATTGGTTTACAAAGCAGAAAAGTGGTTTGCCCATTCATTTCCTACCTCACTTTCCAATTCTCTCTCATGTTCAGCGCAGTGAATGCTGTGTGTGTGTGCCAAGCAGGGCACGCTCACAGAAGGCAAGAGTATTAGTGGAAAGAAAAAAAGAAAGACACCATGGAGAAAAAATATCAGCGAGCAATTTCGCCACTCTTAGGAAACAACCTCCAGGCCTCAGGAGCCCTAATGCAGCGATTCCTCTTCATCTCATTCAGAAGTTAAAGCCCAGAGGCGGCATGGCTTTCAGAGAGAAGCATTTTGTGCTGCCTCTGCAGTCCTAAACAATAATGGCCCCGGAATCCCAGAGAAACCTACAGGCTATCTTTCACATTTGATCACGAAGTACCTGGCAGTGGTGGCGGGCTCTTCCTCCCATCTGACAGCAAATGCCCGCAATTCTGAAGGAAAGAAAGAGGAACTGATGTATCCTGAGATTTGGATCCTGACTGAGCTCTTCATCCCATCCCATCTGAAACCCACCAGCCTCTAGGGGGAATAATCCAATGTCCCCATGGATAGATGCAGGCTGTCTGGGTGGCAATTAACTGTGACCTAATAGATGGTAAAATTTCTGGATTCCAGGTTAGGGCAGGAGGAAGAGATTTGTCCAAAGGGACTGGCCAGTAGTGAGACTGGGCCCAAACTCAAAAGTCCAAGCATAGTGCTTATGCTTTCCTACCTATAAACAACAACAACAATACACCACTTTAAAAATATATATGTTTTTATTGATTTCAGAGAGAGGAAGGGAGAGGGAGAGAGAGATAGAAACATCAATGATGAGAGAGAATCATTGATTGGATGCCTCCTGCACACCTCCTACTGGGGATCGAGCCTGCAAGCAGGGCATGTGCCCTGACCAGGAATCAATAGGAGGATCTCCTGGTGCATGGGATGATGCTCAACCAACTGAGCCACATGTGCCGGGACACTTTTTAAATCCTCACTGGAAGAAGGTATGTTGAGAGAGAGAGAGAGAAACATCAATAAGTTGCCTCCCCTAGGTGCCCCAACTTGAAATGGAACCTACAACCTTTTGGTTACACAGGGACGATGCTCCAACCAACTGAGCCACCCAAGCAGCGAATAACTACATTTACTCTAGTTATTCAGAGAATCTGAATTTTACTAATCCTTTGTGCTTCCTCTCCTTCCCTCTCCTTTCTCCAGTATCCAGCAAAATTTCTGGTACCTTTTAGGTGCTCAAAAGAGATGTGTTGAATCAGTCAAATAAGTGAGTAAAATATGTGCCCTTCTGCAAATGATATAGTTCTTCTGATCTTCCACTTAATCAGTAATTGGGGGATAATGTTATTTGGTGGGTTGTTCGTTTTCAAGATTAAATAATATAGCATGCCTCATCCGATGTGTAAATGTCATACAATAATTTTATGAGTTATGAATTCAACTTATGCATTTTATGACCTTTGAATTTATGAAAATTGAGTTTGCAGATATGATTCAGGTGAGGGGAAGGGGGGGCGGGGAGAGTAAAGCCCTAGGCAGATAAAAGGATCATTGCCCAAAGCCATAGGTGTGAGGGTTAATTAATCTCAAATACATTTAACCAATGCTTCGGAAAAGATAGGGGAATTGGAAAAGGAAAGGGGAAAAGGAGGATGGAGAAGTTGGGGAAATAGTGAATACTTTTAAGGTCAATTGAAGTATTACATAAAGGGCATATTTTCTTTTCACAAGAAATAATCCTGTGCCAAAGAAGGTGGGGAGGTTGATCAGCAGAAGGGGGTTAATCTGAACTCCCTCCTGCCGGCTGCAGTCACAGTGCTCCATACAGTAATGAAGGCAGTGTAGTCACATATTTCACCTGAACTTCCTCCGTGGTCCTTTTTATACTGAAGTTTCAGGGCTGTGCTTGGAAAAGTTAGAAAACTTTTCCCCTGGTGAGGAAAAAGAAAAAAAGCCCGCATCAGACTAAATGGAAGGAATGAATGAAGTTATTCCATTGGCCCTACATCTCCATCCACTTCATACCAAATATTCATAGAAACATCTTTCCTCAATTCCGTAACTGTAATTTTACTCTGTGGTGTTGCCTAGAATCTGATGCACAGATTTCGAAAGTCAGCAGGCAGCCGACTTGGCTTTGGAGGCACCCTGGTTGGCTTTTGCAAGAGTGGATGGGCTTACGTGCTGTGTGGTAGCTTCTCCCGGGAGCAGAATGTGTAAAATAAACAGTTGCTGAAAAGCATCGAGAATTAACGAAGTGAAAATCTAGGGTTATTTGTTGGCAATTGACACGCAAGTGACCTCCTTAAATACTTAGTTGCTGAAGGTTCAGAGTGAGGATGAATGAATTGTCGGGGCGCTTGACTCGAACCAGCTTGTAAATCTCCTTAGTCTTTGGGGAAGTGGCAATAAATTAATACAAATTTAGGAGGGAGGAGAGAAAAGGGGCTAAAACCAAGATATCTACACCAGAGCTCTCCTCCCAGCCCCGTGGAAAGTCTCGCTTTTACTACGCCGACCCTGGAGATTACAGCCGAGAAAACCCGGCGGCGCTAGGACCTGGTTGGCGCCTGGCTGGGGCCGCTGTCGGGCGGGCGG